TTTCTTTGATTATTAATATCAACCTGTACATATATTAATCTACTGAATATCTCTGATCATAGTTCATACAACCTGTGTATAATGTTTGTAGAACATCCATCTAAAAATATTACCCATAGTTTTTCTAAAATTGCACTTTATAACTTATACCCTGCACTTGTGCTATTGCACTCCTGGTTAGACCTAAACTGTAATGACAATTAAGTTAAATCCAATCTATAAAAAAATATTTAAAAAAAGATAAATAAATAAACTAAAAGCATTTCCATGAAAAAAAAAAACTATGTACCAGTGGTGTAAACAATCTTGTTTATGCTTTAAAATGTACATCTGAACTAAAAACAAGACAAAAATTCTAGGTAATACAAAAATTCTAAAAATGCAGTAATTAAATACAATTCTTTAGCTCCTGGTCAACATTAGTTCAGACTTAACATTGCATATCTTGTAATGTGACTATTGCAGATGCGCACATTACGATGTCAATGCTAAAATTATATATAGTGCAGCCCTATTTGAAAGCATGTGAAAAAGTAAACACATTTATTACATTTACTAATCTGAATAAAGACAGGGATTTACTACTGAACACATACCCATGGTTCCCTAACAGAAAAGAATGCCAATGAGAAATAATGCAATAATTATCAAAAAAATCTGGAAAAACAACAAATAAAAGGGAAGAAAAATGACTTCAAAGATTACTGCAAGTACAACATTTGGTTAAACACTAGTTTTAAACAGATTGGTTTTGTTAACACACGAAGCCTGAATCGTATGAGTGAGGCTTATCCTATTTTAACAGGAGTAAGCCACACATGCATAGTCGTTTATCAATACATGTGAACTAGTCACTTAAAGGAAGCATTGCACAAATATTTCACTGTAAAGAAAACTCAAAGCTTCATCGCTAAACCTGTAAAAAAAGCAGCTACAGTTTGTAGTAAGTTAGTAAACAGATCCACACAAGCTAAACCTCATAAGGTAGTAGTATGTGATAAAGAACGTAAAACATTGACTTGACTAAATTGTTAACTTTGGGCATGTGGTTTTAAGGAATTAATACATTACTATTATTCAATAGTATGTGAACATATATAGAATGTTCAAGTTATTTACATATGATTTAATTGTTTGCAGTGACAAAAAATAACTAGTATAAAAACAGTGTCAGGTAATATAGCCAATAGGCGCTTGATTTTGTCAGCTTTTGACGTGATGAACTTCACTCCTTACTTAGGCTAATATGCTAAGACGACTGAAGCCAATTAAAACCACTCAGCATCACTTTTTAATTCAAAACACAACATACTATTGGAAGGGAATATGGCAAATAGAGTCCCATTACACACAATATATCTTGCTTAAAACTAATGAATTTATTGTGCGAATTAATGGTCCTCATGATAGTGTCTGTTAGCGCGCTTGTTTAGCTACCTACCTTCACACACCGGCCAGAATAAACCCGACGAACTTTAGCTTATTCAGCTGGAGTTATCCTCAACCCCTCCAGCGGACTGGGTCATTCCACGAAAGAGCCTCGGACAAGAAACTAGCTTTGGGAATTGAAAAACTCCCACGTGCTGCCCTCAGTGATACCTGTCGAGCCCCTCACGTAACGGAGCTGTCACTTTTCTACTCAAGGCTCTAGAGCGAGATGGCACGGCGATTTTTTAGATCACTTACTATCATGACATCTTCCGGTGTCTGGTGGAATCTTCTTCTTCTTTTTATGGCAAGTTGCATCTCAATGCATTACCGCCATCTGGTGTTTTCACTTATGCTTGCTTGAGCTCTCATTGATAATAAAATATTAATAATAATGCGTTTTATTTAACACTCAAGCACATTACATTTTAAGCCCTGATATTGTTTAAAAATGTTGTATAAATTATATTCAAAATATATGTAAAACACTATGAAAATAAACTTTAATTGAATTGATTACACTGTGTTTCATAAAATCAAATCTATAAATTAACGTTTTTATTATATAGCTTATTAAAGATGTGTGTGTGTGTGTGTGTGTGTGTGTGTGTGTGTGTGTGTGTGTGTGTGTGTGTGTGTGTATATATATATATATATATATATATATATATATATATATATATATATATATATATATATATTAGTACTGTCAAAATTAGTGCATTAACGCATGCGATTAATTTGAACGCAGTTAACGCAGTAGCAGGTTTTTTTGTGTTGTGGTCGATGTGTGCTTAACATGCAAAGAAATTTGGATAAGATCAAGGAATCACTTTTTTAGCAAGTTTCAGTATAAAACAATGTCGCATTACCAGGCTCTCCAGGGTTTCCTCCAGTGTTTCATGCAATTTTGGGTGTTTCATTTTTAACTTTCGACTTCTGTTTTAATGGAATTTGATACCGCATGGCGAACAGAAAGAAAAACCTTCGCATTTCGTGACTCGGTGGTCCTTTAAGGTAATCAAAAATCGCTGCTTAGTGCTTACATGGTAGACCAGGCACATGCACACATAGGGCTCAACCTGTGCAATGCACATGCCCTTTTAGTCTTGGATAGAAAGTGCCCTTCCAAAATGATCTAAAGTGCCCCTGCTCCAGACTGGACTTATTTAGCAACTGGCTGAATGTAAAGAAGGACTAAACAAAATTGTTTCTACTTTATAAACAATTATATTTTGAATATAAATAGTTTTTTGTCTTGTGTTTACATTAATTTTACATTTGAATAGCCAAAATTACAAGTTTCAGTCTTTTGAATATGATTAATCACGATTATTCCTGTCTATTCTATCTAGTTACCTATCTGTCCTTATACATATACTTTTTTTTTAACTTTTAATCTGCACCATAGCCGCGGCAACTTCCTCCTGCTGTTTCCTGAACCTGCAAGTCTTTATTTTACAAATTATAAAAAATGTCTGCTTCTCAATTTTTATGAAGGGTGCCATTCATGTATTTTAAGATGCACTCGGTCAGAAGACAAGCGCTGGAGATATCATGACAGTGTTTTTGATCGTCAGCATGATGTAGGCTTATAGTGACAATAATATTTATACAATATGGTTAATATAATGATATTTATACATGACCAAACTAGTGTGCAACTTAAGCAACTTTTTTTTACATTTGTTTTTGTAGTTCTGCCCAAACAAATATTTGTTGCATTTTTTAATTGTTTAAGTTCATTTGATTGACAATGTAAAAGCTGTTAGCTACGTTTGATGTTTTATTGTTGAGTTAAACATGTTTTTTAAGGGTCTCTGATACATTGCTTTTATTATTTATCTTTATTTTATTAATCAACATTAACTGTGTGCGTCAGCAGGCAGTTTTTGTTATGCTCATTATTTTCTAGGCCCCCTCAAAACACACAGGCACCCACATTTCCAGTGTGGATTATAATTTTATTTTAATAATAAATAAAAAAATGTAGTTTTTTTAATTTGTCAACTCTCGTTATTTCCTTTATATGGCTTTTGTCCTTTTATAGAATGAGAGTGGGTAAACCTATTCAAGGGCATGCACAGATTTTCAATACTTTATTATTATTAATATAATTTTCCATATTTGCAATTTCTGTATTTTGGCATTTTTGTGCAGTCCCCTTAGAATCCAATATGGAAATCAATGGTTTCTTTATTGTCATTGATTGTTTTGAAATTCAAATGGCTTTAACATGCCTGTGTTTTTATTTCTGTAATAAATATGGCTGTCAAGCCAGGATCTTGATGGTTAATTGTGGGTATGTTGTTTACATGAAGAAATCTGTGTTACAAGTAAACAAAAAATTCTTATAATGAATTATATTTTGAATTTAAATAGTATTTGTCTTGCGTTTACATTAATTTTACACTCGAATAGACAAAATTACAAGTTTCAGTCTTTTAAATGCGATTAATCGCGATTAATTTTTTTTAGAAGTGCGATTAATTAGTTTTTTTTTTTAATCGATTGGCAGCTCTAATATATATATATATATATATATATATATATATATATATATATATATATATATATATATATATTAGTGTGTGTGTGTGTGTGTGTGTGTGTGTGTGTGTGTGTGTGTGTGTGTGTGTGTGTGTGTGTGTGTGTGTGTGTGTGTGTGTGTGTGTGTGTGTGTGTGTGTGTGATTTTTATATATACCTTTAAAAGTACTATATTTTTATGTAAAAAAATATATATATTTATGATCTTATTAATATTTACCTTCCATGAGTGAATATATATACATCCACAAATCAGAAAAAATAAATTGGGACAGTATGTAGAATGCAAAAAAAAAAAAAAAAATTAGTCATCTCTAAATTTACTTTGACTTGTATTTCATTGCAGAAAATATGACAAAATTTTAATGTTTCTCTTGTTTTTTTTTTCATTTGTTTTTTTTTAAATGAACGTTTATTCCAATTTTGATTCTTGAAACACATTTCAAATGATTTGGAACAGAAACGCCATATTTACCACTTTGTAATGTTGCTGTTACTGTTCACAACACTTAAAATAACTTTAGGGACTGAGGACACCAAGTTATGAAGTATTTTGGGTGTACTTTTGTCCCATTCTTGCAGCAAACAAGTCTTAAGGTGGCCAAATGTGCAGGGTCCTTGTTGTTGCATTTTGAGCTTCAAAATGAGCCACACATTCAACAAATTTGCTACACAATTATCACGTAATTTTTGTGTTGTACTTTTAATTGTTTACCACGTAAATTTTTGTAAGAGTGGACCTTTCAATACGTTAATGTCAAACTGGTTGAAAATCCTTTGATCCACTGACAGTTAAAAAAAATCCATAAGGGGAAAGAATGTCTAAATAAAAAGTTGCTAAGAAATTGTGTAATTTGAATTTACATTAAGCATGATTTTAAATCATGGGTCAAATGCAGTGAACAAATAAGGGTATGACATGTGTTAGTATATGTAAAATATAATTCATAGCAACTTTGAGAAACGATCTTTGTTTTACACTCCATCACAGTAGGTGGCGGTATCATCTTAAGCTTGGTTTAAGATGAACAGTTTCTCGCCGATTTAGAGTAAGATGGCGCTGTCTGGAGGGACTGATAGAGGATCCCACAGAATGGATAAGAGCATTATACTCCCTCCAGATGAAATTTTCCGCAATTTGGAGAACGCCAAGAGGTTCGCTATAGACATAGGTATCATCACTTGCAAATTCGCACCCTTGTTATTAAGATTTATTTTTAATCGCACTAAAGTCACTTGTGAAGTTTGGACGTGTCAGAGTTTGTTGGGCAGGGTTGCGCTTAAACTTGTTAGCACGTGCTGCTAATCTGACAGTTCGTTCAATGTTTGTGAGAAATAACACACGCGTTATGGATAGAGGCTGTAAATATCAACTGTTAAAACATAACGTAATAATGTTGAACTTGAACCTGAAAGGGTTTGTGTACTCTGCTGGAACTAGAGTACGTTACATCTTAATTGTTCTGTTCTCATGAACGCAGGCAACCACTAATGCTATCGTTGTATAACATAATTAAGTTATAATTGTATTAGGTAAGGAAGTGTGTGTAGAAAAAGATAGTATATACACCTTTTTGCCTTATCTGACAGGTGGCTCTTTGACAAAACTGGCCTATTACTCCACTGTTCAGCACAAAGTTGCAAAAGTCAGGTCATTTGATCATTCAGCAAAGGTAAGCTTTCAGGTAAGATTTCTTACTTAAATCCAAATTTTTGTGGCCTCCGCTTTTTTGAAATAATGATAGCAGTAAAAAAAAAATAATAATCAGAAATTAATCTACTGTACATAACATGCATGTATAGTTTTATCATTGTCAAAAAATCCTTTTGGAATTTCAGTTAATCCTTTAGCATCCTATAAGATCCTAATGGATTTCTAAAATTCTAATGGACATTCAGAATTTTTTATTGGATTTTCAGTTTGTCCTATAGAATTTAAAAAGTTTAATGGAGATTCAAATTTATTTTTAGTAGAATTTCACTTTGTCTTCTATGATTTTAAAATCATTTTGGGCATTTTGACTTAATTTATTGGAATTTCCATACATATATATATATATATATATATATATATATATATATATATATATATATATATATATATATATATATATATATATATATATATATTTGTTCTATATATTTGATTGTCAATTAAATATTTTCTTTTGTCTAACACCAATGATTTTTCTTAAAGTAATGATAATAACATGAACATAAAAATACATTATAATAAACATTTCAATAAGCATATATTACATTATAAATAAACATATTAAATTCAAATACTAATGAAACAATAGTACATTTTTGTTAATTTGTCTTTTATTTGATCAGTCTCTTCAGTTTTGCTAATGACAAAAATAAATAAAATGACAGTATCTTTTTCTTTACTAGATAAGTAATTTACTGCTAATATAGATAGTTAATTTACAATAATTTGCAGCATTATAATATAATATAACTTTACTTGTTAAATAATATGATAAAAAGCAGCCTTTTTACAACCATGAAAAGGTTTCATGGATCCATTTTTTTAAACATGTAAAATATATTTCATCAGAGTAAATGTAAAGTAAAAAACAAACAAAAATTTGGCATATGAGTGTGTATTTTGGATTCATTCATATAGATGGTGAAGGTGCTGTTTATTTATAAATGTTTTTTTAGTCTGGATGTTTTTGTGCTTAAGAATAAACTGATTTCTGCTGAGCTTTTAGCCTTACATTGCAAATATTACATCTAAATTTATCTTCACTGTTTTGCGTATTTTAATTCAATTGTGTAAATTTAATTAATAATATATATTTTTACTGCACTAGATGTATAGCTGTATTGTTAACATTATAAGAGCTATTGCATGCAGGGTAAATTCTACAAATAATAATAATAATGATGTTGATGATGATAACAATAATAAAAGCATTATATTCCAGTCTATTAAGATGTTCCAAGAGGCAGTGATTTCCATTTAAACTGCACAGGTGTTATGTAGCAAAGACCAAAGCTTCATACATAACAGCAAGAGTGGCACTTTTTAAGAGTCATGTTTCCTGCTCAAACAAATCACACTAGACAGTATTGTAAAGAGAATAACATAAACAATGCGTAACGTTATTTAAACCAGTTACTGGTATTGATAAATGTTGCTGTGCATTGACATTATTTAAAATAATAGTTGTAATTAACTTATAATAAATATGTTTTATAATAAAGAAAGTATTAGCAATAATTGAAATATTGGTATTTTTATTTCTATCTTGTCATGTAGACTAAAAGCTCTAATTTTTATTTTACTGGATTTCAGGAAACAGATGGTGACCCTCTTTATGAGATATCTGTACAGGAAGAGATCACTGCCCGTCTTCACTTCATCAAGTTTGAAAATGCTTACATTGAAACTTGCTTGGATTTCATTAAGGATCACCTTGTCAACACTGAAACCAAAGTCATCAAAGCTACTGGTGGAGGGGCATACAAGTTCAAGGATTTGATTGAAAAAAAGCTAAAACTAAAGTAAGTAGAATTGTTTAACATATTGATATGGCTGTGGTTTTGAGTTCATTTAAACTCTGCTGTATGTAAGTTTTTGTATGTAAGTGAGGATTTTTGTTTATCTGATAAACAATACTAAAGTCAGATATTCTGCTTTGAAAATGCTAAGGTTTATAATCTAATTAATACATATTTAACCTCTTTAAAATTATTAAATGTACATGCTGAATCACTGACATGTGTTGGCTTGCACGGAGTCACAGTTCACAGTCACAAGTTCAATTTTAAACAATTCAATTTTCAACATCTGAGGTGAATCTGCTGCTGCTTTTAGTAGTATGGCAGTACATGTAATGTCAAATGGAATTCCAACTTGCCGAATTGGCAATTAACACTGAACAGAGCACATGAGGTGTACCTGAGGTGATCATTGTCAGTTTATCCTTTGTTGTTCAGCAGCAAGAAATAAAAGCTGTTTCTAAAATATAAATTTTAAGGACAAAATCTCCTTTTAATATGGAAAATATTCCTTCTATTGCCTGCCGTTGCTTTTATTGAGAACATGGTTTAAATCAGCCTTTAGGCTAGATAGAGATGTCATCAATCTAGCTAACTGCGCGTGTTTTTTAAACCAGGTGTGCAATATCAAGTTCAACCACTGGGTGTCAAACTTGCATACTGCACCTTTAAAGGGGTGTTCCACTATGATATCATATTTTAAACTTTAGTTGATGTGTAATGTAGCTGTGTGAACATAAACAACATCTCTAAATGTAAAAAGTTCTAAGTTCAATGCAAAGGGAGACCTTGGTTTTTACAGAGTTAGCTTAGCAAAGCCTACAATGAACGAATTTTGGGGACTACAAAAAATACTTCCGCCCCCTGTGAGATCACAAAGGTTTGTTTACTGCGCACCCACACTACGCAACTAAGGGCCGTGGCCAGAGGCGCTGTAACATTATAGCAGAGATGAAGCTAAAAATGCGTCCAAACACTGCTGTTTTCACAGAGCTTCGTCTGTTTCTGTATTTGGGCTTCCAAAGGACACAACACAAAGACAGAAGTGCTTACAGTTCAATATTAATTATGTTCCAGAGAATTATAAAAAACGTAGCAAGCATGATTTGACAAAACAGCTCCAGAATCTCTCCCAGTTCAGTGCTGGATTCGGCTAAAATCTCCTCAAAGCAGAAGCTGTGAACTACAATCTGTAAGTGTTTTTATTTGCTAAAATTGATCATGACATGTTCAGTGTCAGGCCCTGATTGGCTAATCGGGAGGACCGGGAGAATTCCCGGTGGGCCGGTCCGTTTTTTGGCTGCAAGGGCCGGTGTCCCTTGCTCCAGGATCTGTTGCTCTCAGCAGTCACACTTTTTAAATTAATGTATTTATTTACTTGACCACAGTCTACTTATTCAATATTTTATATTTTAATATTTATTTATTTTATCTATTTTCTCGCAGCCTCGTGAGGAAGATGCAGCCTGCAGCTTAATGATCATATAACTGTTGTGGTCGAGTGGTTAACAAGTTAGGTTTCGACACCACCGACCCGGGTTTGATCCTCGTCTGAGTAATTTTTTTTTTTTTCATTTTTATTCTTAAGACTTATAATATTGTTAGGGTTGTTGAACATTTGAAGTTCCAAAGCAGCTCTTTTCTCAAAAAAAGACGTGATAGTGTCATTAGAAACTGAATTGGAAATGACCTTATTTCATATTAGTCAGTCGTGAACTGAGGTGGGCCGGTCTGAGGCTTGAAACTTCAGGGCTGAAAAGGAGTCCCACTCCGGCCCTGTTCAGTGTCTAGCGTTAACAGTATGCTGTAGCAACGATGTAAACAATGACAAATGCTGCTTTGCGGGCAACCGATTTAGCTACAAATTCATATTTATCAGTCAAACTGCTGTAAACACACACACATTCCACCAGCACGTTCGTGTCTCTTATGTGTGTGCGCGACTGCATTTATTGTCTTCAGGCAGCTTTTCCATGCCTTTCACATCTCAGATAATGAAGTCGCAAAAGATATGTGGATGATTCATGTTACTTACACCTGCATATTCTGGATATATGTGAAAGACGTCATGTAACGCATAGCGTTAAAAAAAAAACAGGATAGCTCACCTGACTGGTAGCAGCAGAAAAATAAATCAAGGCTCACACAGGTCGCATCCCAAATCTTGTGCTTTATTCTTCTGTCACGATATATAACAGAAATAACTTCAGACACACACACACACACATAGACGCACACACAATGGTAAACGCTCTTAAAGGAGCCTCACCCTATTTCCACTCGTTACAGACACTTGTCAGATTTTATTTTAGAGCGCAGGCGTGACGTGGAGCCGATTCGCTAATTGCAGCACATTATGGCAATGATCAATCAGAGTCACTTAAGGGCGGGCCTTTCAGAGGAATTAGGAAATTTGTTTTCATGTTAGCTTAGTAGCTGTGTATAATCAAAGTGAGATATTAAAAAAAAAAATAACGTGATTTCCTTTAAGTGAAACATGAGCACACATTGCTTTGCATCTTATAAACACAACCAAGTCTTAAAATTACATTCTGGACCACCCCTTTATGACATTCCAAGACACTAGTGTTCTATTCATTACAATATAGTTACTATTCTCACGTTTCAAAAGTCAGCCAAAAACCCACATATACACTAAAATGAGTTTAATTAAAGCATAACTGCATTACCATGAACTGGCAGCTATGCAGATGATTTAACCTTTGCCATACCAACAGCCATACAATTTCAAATTTAAATATTAAAAAACTTAAACAGAGTACACTCAATCAACACAAATCAAGTTTGGAGTAGGGAACACTGTAAATTTAACAGTAGAGGTTTTGTGTTTGTGTGTTTGTGTTTTTGTGTGTGTGTGTGTGTTTGTGCTTGTGTTTGTTTCTTTGTTTGTGTGTGTATATACATATGTGTATGTATGTATGTGTATATATATATATATATATGTATATATGTATATGTATATGTATATGTATATATATATATATATGTATATGTATATATATATATATATATATATATATATATATATATATATATATATTAGGGCTGCACGATATATCGTTTTAGCATCGAAATCGCGATGTGCGCATCCGCGATAGTCACATCGCAGGAGGGTGCGATGCAAAGCAAAAAAAAAAAAAAAAAAAATCTATATATATATTATGGGTGAAGCCGAACCGGAATACGGTATTCGGAAAAGCACGAATAGCGTGTTTTTACGAATACTTATTTCAAACAATACTTGATAAATTATTTGTATTTGGGAACAAGAAAAACATTATATCAAAAAGCTGCGTTTCCTCATGAGACCGCAGTGCATGCCCGCGTGAGTGAGTGAGTGAGTGAGTGAGTGAGACGTTCAGGAGTCGGTGGGCGGGGTGGGGCCGGGGTAAGGAGACTGAGCAAGCTGCTTCTCTATACAGCAACAGAGAAGGCTTGGCAGAGCGAAAAATACTTTTCTGCATTACTATTTTTGTTTATTTTATCATACTAAAATAACACGTGACAGTTCACTCAAAAGTGAAAGTTCTTTCTGTTAGTAATTACTAACACTCCCGTCATTCCTACTACTTTCAGAACATACATTTTGATATTTTACCATATGAAAATGCAATGCAGTTATGAAAATTGAGAAATTAAAGCAATACAGAGATCTGGTCCCCGCGTCAGGTCAGGGTGCACCTGTAACCTTAAAAACGCAGACGCGGCAGAGGCGCACTAAACTCACACGGAAAAGAACTGGGCATTCAATTCATGTTTTCGTTAAACAATTCTTTAAATACAGCTCTTTTGATCTCTAAAGGGGAAAAAAGCAAAAGAAATTTGTCGTTAAATTAATTTTAGCAAAGACGCAACTGCCTGTCATTTTCACATTCGTTTTTCAGTTAGGGATTTGGTCTATTAGAGTAACCTAATAAAATTGTTTTGTTGGACACTGTAGTCTACACAATAATCAATATTATAATTTATTATATAAATTAGCTATTATTAAAACTAAACTATACAATTGATAAAACAAAACCCTTTTTAATGTTTGCTTTCATTTTAACACCGCTAACAGTTGTAATAAGAAACATCACATTATGCAAAAGCAGTCTTTTGAGTTTAAAGATGATCAGCCTACCAAGTCAAGTTTACAGTGTCATAAATGAAATGGGTAGCATGAGTAAAGGGGATTTGCCCAGCACACAACATCATGCGCTGCAGGTAAGCTGAATGATAATCTTTAAAAAATATATAGGGTATGCAATACAAAACTTTAAACATTTATTTATTTTTTAATGAAAAGAAAAGAAATCAGGAAAGGAAAATATAATTTAAACCACTGGTCTGGCGCTGATACTTTATTGTTTGTATCCAGAAGAAGGGGGAAAAAAAAGCAGATGAAAACCTGGCTGGGGAGACGGCAATAACATATCAGTTCTTCAGCAAAGATCACGACATCATTGTGATGGGTTTATCATACAACGCAGTTCGTGTTTATAATCATTAATATTAACTAGTATTAATTCTCTCTCTAGATTTAGTTTTCGGGCTTGTTCTTGTCGGCGCAATATAGTCTCGGCTTATTGCACGTACGAATCCGATTGTGAAGAAATATCAAGCGCTGGCATTTTTTATTGCATCCTTTTCGCTAGTTAATCATTTATTTATTTTTTTAGTGGTGCGAACATTATTTACTGGCAAACATGTTCCATGACCTCGTACATCAACAAATGTAGCCTACTTAAGTTAATTTACCTTTTATGTAAAAATTACGGAATAACTTAATTAAATATTAATAAATAAAATATCCGTATAAAAGTAGGCTACATGTTTATTTTTGAACTTTCGTTAATAAAACAACACAAAACTGTTTATAAATATTGTAGTTAAATATTAAATTACTTTAACTGCTTGAAACCGTATAATAATAACAATTAAACGTTACATTTTTAAGAACTTAACAAATAGTCTAAATGGCACTTTACTAATAAGTGTAATAATAATATAAATATTAATAATTATAAGTACAAAGAAAATATTAACCTAGTAACAATATAAGTCAGATGTTAAAAAAAACAGCGTAGTTTCTCTCCACCTTTTGTAGTCATATTTTAAATTATTTGCTAGAAAAACTAACATGTTGACTTTGTCCGGTTTAAGTGAAGAATGGGGTTATAATGTTTCCAGCAATACACTGTCAGACGGTGTGCTTGTAGCGAAAATGCACAGACAGGGTACTTTTTCACAACCATGCGAGAGAGGGCTTCTCCTTCTGTTCCGCCGCCCGCATTTCTCGCGACGCAGGTTTCTCTACGCTGCGGAGCGGCGCGTTCTTAAGTAGTTACCAAATATGTTGCTCCATTTCTCGTCAATGTCTTCCATTTATCACTTTCTCTTTTGTATCTGGCCATTTTTGCAAATGCCTCTGCCATGCCTGAGCTGGGCTTCTGCGTTTAGAAGACAGGAGTTGATTAAGCCTACATGGCTTTTTTCCCTCGCCGTCAATCGCCACTATCTTGCATGGTTCGGGACCCGTGGATCTGCGTATCGATGGATTTGCTCCTCAGTGTTTGGACTCTCAGCAGTGAATATTAAAACACACTTTACTTAAAACCCCCATACAAAAAGCTTAATCCAAATTGATTCGTTCACCTTTCTCAGTCGGCACATATCCAAAATGTTCCCAGATGTAAGAGTTCGTTTTCTAACAAGATTCATGGTTGAACTTGAACTTGCTGAATCGCGCCTAATGTTATATTCTAACAGATATGTAATACTTGGCAACATAACAGTAATTTGTGTTTTAAAGTGCGTGACGTCACGTACTACGGCCGTGACGCGGTTGTCATGGTGACCGTCACAGCCCTAGTTTTAAGTATATATATATATATATATATATATATATATATATATATATATATATATATATATATATATATATATATAATATCGCAATATATATCGCAGGGGAAAAAAATATCGCAATGTCAATTTTTTCCAATATCGTGCAGCCCTAATATATATGTATGTGTGTGTATATACATACACACACACACAACATCCCACACATAAATGCATGAACAGACATATTATATATAATGTATTATTGTTTTGTTTTTTTCTTTCAGAGTGGACAAAGAAGATGAAATGACTTGTCTGATTAAAGGATGCAACTTTGTTCTGAAGAATATACCCCATGAAGCTTTTGTGTATGCCAAGCATGCTGATTCTGAATTTCGGTTTCAGAATACACACCCAGATATCTTCCCTTACCTACTTATAAATATTGGCTCTGGAGTCTCAATAGTAAAGGTATATCTGTACGGTTCTGAATCTATATGCCTCTTTGATGTTAACACATGATACAAATGCTGAGTTTGCATATTGTGGAATTCTAAAAGGACTTGTTCATATGCTGTATTTGAAGGTTGAATCAGAGGACAAGTTTGAGCGCATTGGTGGGAGTTCTATAGGTGGTGGCACTTTTTGGGGTCTTGGAGCTTTACTCACAAAAACTAAGGTTGTGACTTTTTGTAAACTTAATATTGTGACTGAATAGAAGTACCAGATTATTATTTTTTCTTTATGTGCATTTTTTTTTCTTTCCGATTCTATGTTTTAGAGGTTTGATGAACTTCTTCAGTTAGCTTCAAAGGGACAACACACAAATGTGGATATGCTTGTTAAAGATATCTATGGAGGTGCTTATGGGTCCCTAGGTTTAACTGGGGACCTGATTGCAAGCAGCTTTGGAAAATCAGCCACCACAGACAAAGGTAAAGCAAAAGAGTCAAGGTCCTCTGTTTGGTTGTAACAAGTGGCAATTTATTGCATGGGCTGTTTTTCCACACACATAAAGTGTAATTTGACCTTTTACCCAGTTGGCAGTGTTGTTAGTGTGAAATTAAGTCAAAGGTCTATGGTTTCACAAAGTATAAGGGAAATGACCTTTCTGAAGTTTTTAAAAAGGATAAACAAGCAGAGTGTATTTTGAATGAATATTACATTATTATTTGGGTTTGCTATGCACTTTTTTAGCAGCATTAGCCAAAATGGAAACATAGTTACATGGCAGTTATCGTATCATATCTTAGATCGACCTTTTGTTATGTATTGCTCAGAGTTCTCCAAGGAAGACATGGCAAAGAGCCTACTGCACATGATAAGTAATGACATTGGACAGCTGGCCTGCCTCTACGCTAAACTGCATAACCTTACCAGAGTCTATTTTGGAGGATTCTTCATTCGAGGTCACCCTGTTACCATGCACACCATAACGTATAGCATCAACTTCTTCACTAAGGTGTCTAGCCTTTTCTTTTTTTATTCATAAGCTATGTGCTAATGAATTGACCAATATTAAACAGCTACTTGGAAAACTTGGTTGGGTCAAATGTGCCATTCTGTGAATATTATTTGTTTCATCAGTCACTGTTCAATTCAATTTACTCGATTCATATGTAGTTTTTTGTCATCTCTCATGTATCTTGTTTAATACAAAAGTGAATGCAGGATATTTTTTTTATTTGCACTCAAGGTAGCTGTATGATATGAGATTATTATGTTGTAATGTGTGCCATTTTTAATAACAAATTGGGTTTTATTTTTAGGGGGAGGTCCAGGCATTATTTCTAAGACATGAAGGATATCTTGGTGCTATTGGGGCCTTTTTGAAGGGGGCAGAGGAAGATAGTAAGTGGTTTTTGTTGTATAAATAAGCAAACTTTATCGTACAAGTGGATCTCAAATTAGAATATCATTGAAAAGTTGACTTATTTCACTAATTTAATTAAAAAAGTGAAACGCATATTGTATTGGTTCATTACACACAGACTGATATAATTAAGGTGTTAATTTGTTCCTATTTTTGATGATTATGGCATGCTGCTAATGAAAACCTAAGACCTATAAAAAGTTTAAGTTTTAAGTTTAGAAATGTTGGACTACTAAACGTACAGTATGGACATGTACAGCAGTTAATACACTGCAAAAAAAGCTTTTCTTATTTTTGTCTTGTTTCTAGTGCACATATATAAACATTTTTAAAGCAAGAAACGATTTCTAGACAGGCTAAACATTGCGTTTAAATGCAATTCATAAATTTTTTTTTTTTTCCTTAAAACAAGCAAAATAATCTTTTCTTTTGACATTTTTCTCATGCCATTGACAAATTCATTTACTTGTTTTGGATTAGATGAGACAAAAAAAAATCAAAGTAAGAAAAGCAGTGTCTGGGTTCGTAGCGTGAGCCTTTACTGACTGCGTGCGCACAGCTGAGAATCCAGAAGACTTTAATACTTGATGGGTTGTAGTATCAATTGTAACAATCGGGCTACTCGAAGTTACTGTCATGATGAAACAGTAGTAAAGAAGTCGTCACCAAGTGGAGTTGCTAAATAAATGTATTCAACTATAATTAAAATAAATATGTTGTGGATAATTTTGAAGAACGCAGTTGGGGAAATTAATAACTTGGGCTACATTTTATATATCCAAGCTAACTGCGTACCTAAAGGTGCAGTATGTAAGTTTGAGACCCCGTGGTTGAATTAGATATTGCACACCTGGTTCAAAACAAATGCAAGCACACGACACGCAATAGAAGGAATTTTCCATATTAACAGCCTCTAGTTCTTACAGCTGAACAACAGGATACACTGACAATGATCAACTCAGGTACACCCTATGTGTTTTATTCAGTGTTAAATGTTGATAATGTAAGTTCGAATGCCATTTTACATGACATTTATTGTCATAATGAAAACAGCAGCAGATAGTTCACCTCAGGTCTTGAAAATAAAATAAATCATTTGAAATAGAATTTCAGTGCAAGCCAGTACATATCAGTGATTCAGCATGTACATTTAATGATGTTAATATGTATTAATTAGACTATAAACCTTACCATTTCGTTAGAGTGCATTGAGTGGACTATTCTGTGCTTCTGAATGGCTGTATTTATATTTCTGTCGTGTTGCGACCGGTGCAAACAGCCAAATTGCTGATCACTGCAAATCTCTTCACATAGCGTGTTGTTATGACACAGGTTTGTGTCAATGTAACCTGCTCACTTAATGTTTATGTTCATAATATTTATATTATTTGCCAATTAATAACCACCTCATGTGGAACTCTGAATCTGCGTCTTATTTTGGGGCTGCTAATGTCCACTGGAGTTCCGCATTTTGGTCACTGGCACATGCTTTGAGAGCCTTTCTAACTAAATAAAAATAAAATAAAATAGAATAAAATAAGCAGTTTAATATAATTGGCTAAACTGGCATTAGACAGGTTAAATGAAAAAAGTAAAGTTTCTACACGTAACGCACATTTTCAAAGCAAAATATCTGACTTTTTCAAATAAACAAAAATGTTCACTTGACATGTTTCTGAAATATCTGCAAACATATTATGGTACTTTTATGCTTTAAAAGAGTAACAGACTTGCATACAGCACCTTTGATGCAACCTTTTATACATTAAAATAAATAATTTTCTTAAAAAGTGTTGGACAGCCTGTTCACAAAATATATGTATTGTTTTCCAACAAAGCTTCAAAGGAAACTAAAAGGACTTTACATTAGATAGTTCTTTTGGAATTTTGAAGGTGTTGCATATGGTCTTTTCAGCTTGGCCAGACTCTGCTCCAAATTGTGCATCTTCCAATGCGGAGCCATGAACAAAGTTACAAAAAATCCAAAGCGACCTCAACCAACAACCCAATTACATTACATTTACTGCACACATTCAAAAAAACTAGGGTAGAGTCGAATATAAACCAGGCTTTAGGGAAGCCGAGGTTGCTATGACCTTCAGCTCTTCTGAGTTTTTGATGTCTGGCATTTTCCTTTTCACAATATTTTATAGATTCTCTATGAGTTTTGATAGGTGAATCACCAATAGCCAATCAAGCATGGGGATACCCTGGGCCATAAACCTTGTATTAATATTTTGGCAGCGTGGGCAGGTGTCAAGTCCTGTTACACTAATATTGGTTTTTGCAATAAATGAATATAGTACGAGTTTCACTTTTTGAATTTATAATACTGAAATCTGCCTTTTAATGAAATCCTAATTTATAGAGGTGCACCTGTATTTGCTTCATAAAGTGTAGTTTGTTTAATGGTTTATTTTTGTTGTGTTAGACCCTAACCAGTACAGCTGGGGAGAGAACTATGCTGGCAGCTCAGGTCTCATGAGTGTATCTCCAGAGTTAAATCCAGTGCAGCGAGCTCGTAGCGGAACGGTAAGTCGGAACAAAGAAAAGGTTCGCAGTAATTTTGCTGCAGCAGTGTTTTGTTCTTTTTTTTTTTTTTAAATAAACAAAGCAGATTAAAGTTTGTGTTTGTCTTAGGTGCACTACATTTATAGATTAAAACAAATTAATTGCTTGCTATGTGTCCTACAAAACTTTTTATTTTCTCTGTAATGTTTTTATTTGATCTCATTTCATTTTATTTTTTCTTTTCCTCTCCATCCATCCATCATCCATCTATTTCCTAAACTTTTCCCTCAGTTTCCAGTAAGTACTTTCCTATCCATGTTTCTTTTGGTTTCTCTGGATGCTCTTTGCTTAAAAACACCACCTGTTTATTACTGCTAAGATTTTTTTAATAGTCATAAATATAGAGTCCTGTATGCGCCAAAAACTCCACCCGGCCTTATATGTGGAACTGTTGTGATTTGTCATTTTAAAAGTCATGGTGATATTAAGTTTTTCATATGCAAAACTGGGTAGATTACTTTTTTAAAATCTATTCACTACAATTACAAAATACTTTCTCTAAGAAGTAATGCATTTCATTAGATAACTCGGGTTCAGTAAGAAAACTTGGAAATACTTGATATATTGGTATACACCTGTATAGCTTGTCATATCATTGAAAAGTGGATTTCAGTAATACAATTCAAAAAAGTTCAACTCATATCAGCGTATTATGTAGATTTATGACACACATGCTGATACATTTCAAAATTTAATTTCTTTTAATTTTGATTATTGACTTGTTGTTAATGCAAACCTGAAAGTCTGTATCTCCAAAAATTACAACAATGCAAAAGAGCTGAAGGATGCTGTCTGTTAGAACAGTCTCCACGACAGATAAATAAGATCTAGCACCGGACGCCAGATCCTCTCAGAAAATGTCTGTTTTAGGTAGACAAACCGGCGGAGTTGACTGAGAAAGCTAGAGAGGAGCAGTTTTTCTCTCTAGCTTTCTAGGAGTTGAAGTAATGATGAGGAAAAAAAGAGAAGTTTATTGAATAAGCTTAGTTGCGTATGATTCAAAGCTCAGACTTTGTCTGACTAGGATAATTCCAATAGGTGTTATCATACCACAAGCAACAGCAAAGGAAAATTACTGCTTCACAACGTTGTCCAGAGACAATGCAGACCTTGAAATGGAGATATTCTCGTATCTCTTACTCATTAAAACAAGTGTTGCTTGAATCAACATTCATAATATTATAACAAAATGGAAAAATGAAATGATAATAAAGCAATAATTATAGGAAAATGGTAATAAAATATAAAACATAATCAAATGACAATCAATCAATCACTGATCAAATCATTAACTAATGACCAATAAAATGATAATTACATAAATGACTAATGATCATATGATTAAATAAAATAAATATAAACATAAAAAAAATTAACACAACACGAATTGGTTACTTTCTTAACAACACACGCACAAGTTCTTTAAAAGGATTCTCAGATCCTTAATTAAATTCTTCATATCAGAAACTGATTGCCTACAGTACATGCGTCACATTGTTGCAGTATTTCAGAGCCCAGAGCAAGGATTGAGTGCTGCACATCTACATTTTCAGTTGTCCAACATTTCTCTGTTAAATTTTTTTTTTTTTTAATCTTAAGTAATATTCAAAATGTATGAGATGCTGAATTTTGGGTTTTCATTAGAAGTAAGCCTTAATCATCAAAATTAAAAGAAATAAATCGCTCTGAGTACAATGAATCTGTGGAATATCTGAATTTTCCTTTTCATATTGTTTTACTAGAATCAACTTTTCAATGACATTGAAATTTATTGATAACGCAAATGAATAGGATTCTGTGCTGTTTCATCATGCTGAGTTCCTAAGAAAAATTAATTCAAGCACACCAAATATAATTATTTAAATAGCCAAAACAACTGGCACAGTTCTCAAAATTAAATTAATAGATTTAAGTGAATAGGCCATTTCTAGTGATTACTTCACTGATGAAGAATTGTATGCCACAAAATAATCGTTGAGTCAAAATTGACAGCCAGAGCAATTTGTTACAACCCATGTCTTTACAGTGTAATTTAACAAGCACAGTTTGTGAATGAGACTTGAGGATAACAAACCCATCTATCCAGTTTGTGAATAATTCACACTGGGTGCACAACAAAAAAAGTTTGCACAACAAACCACCAGCCGAAATGATGGCACGCACTCCCAAAGTGAACCAAAGCCAACACTGCAATGACTGTACATTCACACCTTATACCCAAGCGAATACATAGAGTATAAACCAGTCTAAAGGACTATAAGGGCCCAAGCCCAAAAGGGTGCTAGGCCCTACTATTTTTATTATTATTATTTTTTTTTAAAGGTATTGGCACTAATATGCTCAAACTCTAGTTTCTTGTGAGGGGTCTTGTATAGTGAAATGGCAGTTGTACCAGTACTAGTTACAGCCACTCACATCAGTAAAGTGTGGTCACTGACAGCAATTCATATTCAAAGTATTTTATGGCACAGTTGAATGCTTTTTTTCTTGATTGATTTAATATTGGCCTACATTTCAGTGACCACCACTTGTCTTTGTCTCCACCATTTTTTAAATCAAAGTTATCCCACTGTTATTCACAAATATAGCAACCTCAGTACCCAAGCAAAGAATAATTAATTTTATTGCTGTTAAATAACAGCCTAAAGACATTTAGAACAATGTTAGCTTCACATTCAATGCATTTTGAAATAAGTATCCCACATTTCTGCCAGTGATGCCCATTAGTTACTTTAGTATTACATGGTAAAGATGGGGGAAAATGTATTCCAACTTGCTGGTTTCTCATCAGTGCTAAATTGTGGAGACTAACTGCATTTTTCGTTCGTCTGTAAAATTGATATTTTTTGTGAGTTGATTTTCTCTAGCTCTCCAAGCTCTATCTCTGCTGTGAGTATATGAAGAAATGGTCCAGGTCATGCTTTTTTTTTTTTTTTTTGGTACATTTGGTACACTCGTTTTATTTGTTAGGTGAAATGGAGTATATTATTTTCAGAATTGTTTAAAAAAATCATGAATCCTAAAAAAGTTTCCTTTGGCTTATGTGAAAATGTATTTTATTTAATTACATTTTTTTAAGATAGAAGACAGCTGGTTAATTTAAATTTTTTTGCATGACTTTGTATGCTCGGAGCTAATGGTGTAAATTAGAGAATCATAGTTTAGTGACTGTAGGTAAAGCTTTCTCCTACACGTTTACTGTGTGTTTTAGTTTTAAAATCGCTTTTTAGAATGAAAACAATCCACGTCCATGCTGGCGTTTCATTCAGCATTTCAGAAAAGAATTTGAAGGTTAAACATGGTACAAGTGCTGCCACTTTCTCAGAGCTTTTGTTACTGGATAATATTTCCAGTAACAACTTTCAACCAAATCTGCTTTGTTTTTAAGCTATTGTACTCTGGCAGAAATGAATACGATTGCAATGCATCATGATTTGAATTACTTTTGTTAGCTTTCATTTTTGTAATTATCAAATTCTTATAATATCACCATTTAACCCCCTGATTTGTGTGTTTGCCTGTTTTTTCTTGTATTTTTTAACTTCTCCTCATTGCCACTAAATTGTCTGCAGATTATATGTTGCATTCTTTTTAGATTCTTGCAAAAATTGCATATCAGTCGATTGTGATTAATCCTCTTTTTTTTTTTCTCTCTCTCTCTAGTTTGACATGTTGGAAATGGACCGTCTGGAAAGACAGCTAGTGAACCTCCCCCTGCTGCATGACCCAACCTCTTATATCCCAGACACTGTGGACCTGACGGAAGATGCTTTGGCTCGGGATTATTGGCTCTACTGCTTTGAGGATGCGCTAGATGGGGTAAGATTTCTATTTTAAATTATTATTATTTTTAAAAAACTGCTTATATAATGCTATCATTTTGCAACCTTGTTTTATAATTTGCATTACTAACTTAGAAAGATAGATAGTAGCACAACTCACAATAGAGACAACAGTAACGTGTATTTTATACTGACAAACAAGCAAGTTTTAATCTGAAACATTAATTGTTGAATGTGGGGGGAAAATGGCAAAGCACTGTCTTTCTGTTTGGAGTCATGTATAAAAACACTCAAGAAATTAGTCAAATTATTTTGTAGACATGGGCCATGTTCACATTGCAGAAAAATGTCCAGAAATTAATTTTATACGCTCATTTATAAACTCAGAAATTACCCCTAGAATTAAAAGTTTTCTCATAACCCGCAAACCATGGGTTGAGGCGGGTTAAAGAAATTTCAGTTAATTTGTGGGGTGGGTTGGGGTGGGTAATTCATTTTTTAAATGCATGTATGTTGCGTGCTATTCTCTATACCCTATATTATAATTTGGGAATATCTATCTTCAAATTATTTTAAAATGAAAGGCTACTCTTTGATTTTTACTTTTTAATTATAATTATTCTAAATAATTTCACTTTTATTTTATCTATATTATAATTTCATTCAACAAACCAGTTTGTGTTTTGGTTGTGGAAGCATATCAGACCTTGTCTTGATGCGGCTCAAATGTTATTTGTTGTTCTTGTTTGTTTTTTAGATAACTGACCAACAAAAAATTATACCAAGCAAAATCTGTTTCAAAAATATATTTTCTTCAACAAAAATGTAAGTGGCTCTATGAAGTGTAGCCTAGCTATTTATCTTGGTCATGCTCGTCTGCTATACAGCTGTGCAGTTGGATGATTTGTTTCGCTAGATGTAAAATAAGGATTTAATTAATGCTCCACTGTTATTGTTGTAGTGGCGCAGTAGGTAGTGCTGTCGCCTCACAGCAAGATGGTTGCTGGTTCGAACCTCTGCTCAGTTGGCGTTTCTGTGTGGAGTTTGCATGTTCTCCCTGCCTTCCCGTGGATTCCCTCTGGGTGCTCCGGTTTCCCCTACAGTCCAAAGACATCCGGTACAGGTGAATTGGGTAGGCTAAATTGTCCATAGTGTATAAGTGTGTGTGGATGTTTCCCAGAGATGGGTTGCGGCTGTAAGGGCATCCACTGCGTAAAAACTTGCTGGATAAGTTGGCGGTTCATTCCGCTGTGGCGACCCCGTATTAATAAAGGGACTAAGCCAACAAGAAAATGAATGAATAAATGAATTAACACAAATCATTATTTTAAAGATTATGCCTTGAGCATCTGATTTTTTCCTCAGTTTTGCAGTGCTTTTATTTTCTCCGTCTCACTCGAAGTGAGTTCATGTGAAGTGAGTGTTTTCATATTAAAACTGGCCAGTTTGGTTTTGTCATCAACATCAAACTGGCAGAGAAATATCAGCTTTGCTCAATTTTACCGGCGATAAAGGACAGAACGCCATATTGCTTTTCAGTTCCTTTTATCTGATTGGATGTTGTGAGCATGTTGTTTTTTTGTAAATGATAATAACTACGTTACGTCACCCTATTACCGAAAGCAAAACCTTGAACCTCATGATTATCAAATAATAAAAATGCACAGCCCTTCCTGTCATTCAAACTGCGTCAGCATCAATAAAACAGCTTCATACATTTTTATACGATTTTTGTAAAATTTGTCAGCTGTTTTGATTTAATAAGAGAGCCTAGAATTGGCATGTCCAAACTCGGTCCTGGAGGGCTGGTGTCTTGCAAAGTTTAGTTTCAACCCCAATCAGACACAACTGGGCTAGCTAATCAAGCTAATCTAGGCTTTCTAGAAACATCCTTGCAGGTGTGCTGAGCGAAGTTGGAGCTAAAATCCGTAGGACACCGGCCCTCCAGGACCGAGTTTGAACACCCCTGGCTTAGGCCATTTACGTACAGACTTGCCACAGTATAATGCTGCGTTCACACCTGACGTGGAAGAAGCATCAGGTAGGGCTGCTCGATTATGGGAAAAATCATAATCACGATTATTTTGGTCATAATTGTAATCAATTATTCAATTATTCAAAACGATAATCAGTTGAAGTCAAAGTTTTTCGTCCTCCTGTGAATTTATTTTTATATATAAATATTTCCCAAATGATGTTTAACAGAGGTTTTTTTTTTTTACAGTATTTCCTATATTTTTTTCTTCTGGAGAAAGGCTTATTTGTTTTATTTCAGCTAGAATAAAAGAGGTTTGAATATTTTGAAACCTATTTTAATAGCTCAATATTATTAGCCCTTTAAGCAATATATATTTTTGATTGTCTGCAGAAGAAACTACTGTTATACAATGACTTGTCTATTAAACCTTTGAATGTGACTTTAAGCTAAATACTAGTATATTAAAAAACATCTAGTAAAATATAATGTGGTGTCATCAAAGATGACAAGATAAAAGAAATCAGTTATTAGAAATGAGTTATTAAATCTGTTATGTTTAAACTGTGCTTTAAGCATCTTCACTGTATTTTTGATTTTATTATTGATTAATAATAAAAACAGTCGGCAGCTGCATGAATATCACACACTGTCACTTTAAGAATAGTGCGGCTCTGATATGGTTTCTCTTTCACGTGTCTTTTGATTCTTAACTTGTTAGTTTATTACACAAATGAGGGATAATATAAATAATCACTAAACACCGCGCTCTGACACAAATGTGCATGTATTTGACCATTAAAGAGCTCACATTAATATCGCGTTAGATGTGTGTGTGCTCTTCTGTCCGAGGCTGAGTGTGGCCACACAACAGCACATGCTCTTTTGCGCTTTTAAAAATTTTGCGCATCCCTTACGGCAAAAGTTACATTACAGCACATAATTTTAGTCATTTTCACGTGGAACTTTGCTTTGCAGAGGCAAAGAGTTTTCACACGTGTACAACTGGAAGGGGGGCGGTACGTGATGGAATAATCGTTTATCTCGATTAATGGTTTTTCATAATCGTTAAAAGCCGAAATCGAAATCGGATTTTCGATTAATTGCACAGCCCTAGCATCAGGCATAAGTGGTTTACATGTTAAGTTAATGCAAAGATGCGAATAATCATCCTGAGGCGTAATATGCATGATACGCTTATTCGTATTAAACAGTAGACCATCGCTTTTGAACTCAGAAAATCACTTTATTAAAGCATGCACTCATTAGCAAACTTGATGGCTTCTGTGTCACCCTGCTCGTGCTGGCTCCGCCCCTGGGCCCCGACACAAAACAACAAATCTTAATAACCTGTTCACATATCAACATACCCGCCCACCTTTAAAGACTACTCCAGGCATGCACTACACTAGCTCGCAAAATGGCTAGTAACGTTAATGTAATCCTAGACATCCAGGAGTCTCCCGAAACTTCCGGGAGACTTGGGATGCCCGCAAACGAATGATAATCTTCCGGAAATCGTGTGTCTCCCCCCTAGTCCTTAAATACGTCGCACACCCTTCTCCACCACAATCCTCCCAGCTTTTCAGGTACGTTGGGCACAACTCACCCCCACTAAGGTACATCACACGCACACGCCTCCATCACCACTACCAAGAGAGTGGTGGAAAAAAAAACATCTGAGAGATCCTAATCGGTAGTGGAAATTTCAGGTTTTAAGAAAATGTTAAATGTAATAGAGCCCTGTTACATTGTTCCTTGATCCACTAAAAGGTGGACAGTAGGTGACAGTCAAATCAAGCAGATCTGTCCTGTCTGAAGAAAAGGTGGACGCTCCTCTTTTTGGAAATAAAAAAATACTTAAAAATTGATTGAAACAGAGTTCCATATAAAAACTAATTTGTTCTTTTCTTTTTATTTGTTTAACTACTACAATATTACATTTATTTTTATTCTTAAGCAGCTTTTTGGTTTTAAGCATAAAGAAGGATTTGTTTTATTTCCTGCTAAGCAGAAACCCCAGAAGTATAGCTCTATCACTGTTCAATGTTTAAAGTAAAAGAAAAAAAAACAAGATCATACTTAGTTTTAGTACATAAAAAAATTTAAATCAGAGAAATCCAATGGCTTTTTTCTTTTTTTGCTGTATCAAAAACATACAAAAACAAAAAAAGCGTTAATTGCGTAAATTTTGTAACGCGTTAATTATTTCAAATGAATCGCATGCGTTAACGCGTTAATTTTGACAGCACTAATATATATTATATATATATATATATATATATATATATATTTATAATGTATGTGTGTGTGTATATATATAAATATATATATATATATATATATATATATATATATATGTGTGTGTGTGTGTGTGTGTGTGTGTGTGTGTGTGTGTGTGTGTGTGTGTGTATATATATATATATATATATATATATATATATATATATATGTTATAAAAATGTATTTTCATGTGATAACGGGATTTCGTTGAGATATATTTTCCTCACGCATGCATATATATTTTTGCTTGTTAGTTTAATTATTGTTGATTTCAAATGCAGTAAATATAGTTTTATAAAACTTGTAGTAACGGTGCTTATAATTGGTGGGTGCGACTAAATTTTGGCTGATGCGAATACATTTTTAAAGTTAGGAGCACATGTGCTACCAAGCAAAAAGGTTAATTTCGAGCCTTGTATGTATATGTATGTATGTGTGTGTATATATATATATATATATATATATGTGTGTGTGTGTGTGTGTGTGTGTGTGTGTGTGTGTGTGTGTGTGTGTGTATTTATACAACAGTTCTGTCTGGTTCTCAAATCTGATTGGCTGATAGCCGTGCGATATTCTGCAATATCCGAACACCTACAGCCTCTTTACCCTTTTTCGTATTACTCCGCCCATATACAGCCAGCAAAAAGCAGACACTACAGATCTAAAGTTTAAAAGATGCACGCTCAACTGTTTAACTGTCAGCTACTAGCCCCTTTCACACATACAGACCTTTCCGGAAAATTGCCGGCAATTTTCCGGAAAGGTTGTATGTGTGAACAGGTCCTTTTTGAAAATACCGGTAAATTCGTTCTGGCCATTTTCCGGAAAGAGAAGTTGTAACATTACCGCCAATTTGCCGGAATGCTGCACTGTGTGAATGCAGAAGGAAGATTGCCGTAATAACCGCGTGCACGTCTAGAACGTGCTGACGTGAGACGTCTGCTTTAGCCAATCACAACAGTCAGACGCATTAACGTCCGCGCAGTTTGTGAGAATAAAAGCCTTTGAATATTTTTCCAGACACATTTAGCTGCTAAAAGTTATTTAGATCACGTTTATATGTTCTTCTTAATGCCAACTGTGTAAATAATCGATGAGATGCTTATGACAAGCCGTTGTTTGTTTACCTTTAAGCTTTGCGTGTGCCTGTGAAACAGCCTGTGAGCGCCTGCACACGCACATATTATGAACATCTCGACATGCGAAAGTGATCCTGCGAAAGTTGTTCACAATATTGATCATCCACAGAGTTTGTAATTTAGTTAAATGTTTACAAATACAACCGCAGCCGTTTAAAGCTCATTTGTGGTGAATGATGTCAGAATTTACCGGTATTTTGGAATGGATGTGTGAATGCTCTTTTCTGGAAAATTTCCGTAACGTCCTTGCCTGTGTGAACAGCGCTTTTTTGAATATACCGGTAAAGTCGTTCCGGAAAGTTTCCAGATATTTACCGGTATCACTGTGTGAAAGGGGCTACTGATTTGAATCCGGAAGACAGTAGTTCCTCATACAAAAGGGTTTTTGAGACTCTCCATGTTTGATTTTGTTTTTATATACACAATTATGCCATCAAACTGTTGTATAAACGCAATATCACACTCGTACCAGTGCGATATGGCTGTATAGACCTTTTTCATGGCTTCTGCATGGATGGCGCCATAGCGACCAGCGTCTTCCGGTATAATGCTAAAAACTTCCGTTTACAGCGTTTACAACTGGCAATTTGCACTCCGAAAAGGGGTTTCAATAACGTTTTCAATGGATAACAGTGTTTTTGTGACACACAACTTAGAAATGTGTCTGTTAGAGCTGTTATAGTCTGTCACATGTGGTTCAAGCACGTCAGAAATACGAGAAAAACGTTCTCCTAGTTCACGTGTCTGCTGTCAGAAATACAGTGTGCGTGTGCGTTCCCGGCCTGTCAGCTGTTAGCTCAGCGGCTCTTTAACACACACACACACACGCACACACACACACACACACACACACAGAGAGAGAGAGCAAACCAGAGTACTGGCATGAAACTTAATTTACAAAACTGACCAATAAAAGTCTGTTATTGATACTCTGCTGGCTGATTTGCGGTTCATTCTAATCGCGAGCCGTTTGTGTTTTATTTCGTGTGTTGTTTTTACCACGGTTTGTGTTTTTCTGTCATTTCAAAATGACACTAGCCTATATTTTCCCTTTGTCACAGTTTTAAAATCAGTGTGTCAGTGGCACAGTACAGGCTACGTGTGTGTGTGTCAAACATTTTGGAGAATTACATTTGTTTGGGCTGGTTATATATTTGAAATAAAGAGAAAATGTTGACTTTAGCGATGACAAGGCTTCATTTAAAATGCAGAAGATGCCGTCTGACAACAAGGGGAAAATGCCTCACAGCAGCTGTTTTCCATCCTATTAGATCGCATTTCTTTAAATGATCAGTCCAGGAGATGGTGCTGATGGAAACATTATTAGTTCAAAGAGGATAAAAGCAGGTAAAATAGATTAAAACTATTGGTTCAAAGCTGTCCAAATGTGACTGTTTACACGCATCAGCTGCCGACCGGAAGTTCTTTGCATTCTCCTTGCGCATACACGCAAAGCATAATGGGTAATTTTGCGTTCCAAGAAAAAGGTCTATATCTGCACTGGTGGGGGCACAACGCACACCTTCCACCAGTGCCGATATACAGCCATATCGCACTGCTACTCGAGTGATATTGCTCATATATATATATTTATTCATATTATATATTATATATTTTAGTGTGTCTGTGTGTGTCTGTGTGTTTACAAATCTTTTTTTTCCTAAACTTACTTAAATCAAAATTTAAAATTTTAAATGGTCAGTTGTATTTAAAGAGACATTAAGCTGAATAAAAAGTGAATGTATACGTGTTTGGCTTTGACACATTATGTAAAATATGTGGCGAAAAAATAGCTAATAAATTTCTTTATTTTTTTATTTGCTTACATATGTAATTACTTTGCTTATGAACAGGTGGTGAAGCGGGCGGTGGCTAGTCAAAAAGACCAACCAGAAGCTGCGGAGAGGGCGGAGAAGTTTCGGCAGAAATATCGTCACAAACTCCAGACTCTTCGTCACCAGCCTTTGTAAGTGCAGCATAAACGTTCCTCCTCAACCAAGGCTTATCCTGTGCTCATTCTTCAGCTTGACTGATATTTAAATTTTATTGCCATATCCCAGTAGAGATTAGGATATTTTACTAGATAAAGGATTTCTACAACGGTTTACACAACAACGTTTTCAGCAAAAAAAAAAAAACAGCAATTTTTTAATGAGATTTGCCTGTTTGTTTACATGGCAACATCATTTCTAAATACATAAGTATGAAAACAGATTTTGAATTAAAGTTTATTTATTTTTTTTGAAAAGATGACATCATGCGTGTGCGTGGCAGAGTATATCGTAGTTGTGGTTGGGAATCGAAAATTAGTTTCGATTATGAAGTCCAATACTTGTTTTAAAATTAGAATTATTTGATTTTTCTTACCTGATTTTTTTATACATGCGCACATTTTTATTTAAATTTTGACAATCTGCCTGGAACTTCTGCACTTGAAAGCCTTGAATTAACTGTAATCTAAACATAAGATGAACTGCAATGTGTGCTTAAGGCCACGTGGTGAAAAACGATAGCAAAGCTAATGTCGAGTTCAGACTGCATGATTTTAGCCCTGATTTTAATTCGCTGACAGGTTTTGAAAAATTGCTGACAAAAGCCTGAAATCACAGGCAAATCAGTGCTTGTTCACGTGAGTAACAATCGCACAGTGTGAACTGTCGAAGACATGATCCAAGAGAGTTTTCGACACCAGTGAGATATTTGGTTTGCTTTATATCTGGAGCTGTCGGCCACGCATTGTTTCTGTGTCACTTCTCACATGTGTTTGGTTGTGAGACGTAGCTTGTGTACGGAGACAAAGTTATTAGCAATTCTTCTTTGATAAGCGGAATTGAAATTAGAATCGTAATCGACATAATTTTAATGATATCCAACACTATTGGTAGTTTTGTGTGGATTATTTTTTTTATTTGTTTTATAAAATATATTTATTTAGTTTTAGTAATCTTTACTGATGTGTACACGTCATCATTTTGAGACAAACATTGTTGAGTCTTTTTTTTTTTTTACACAAGGAGAAAACTTTTGTCTACAATGTTGTTGTGTAAACATAGCCACAGTGTTTGTGTGTGTGGGCTTAATTATTGCTGGATGAGTGTTTCTTCTACTAATGTAGCTTGCCTCTCCTCTCATCTCTAGTGCTTATGGATCCCTCACCGTCAGAAGTCTTTTAGACACAAGAGAACACTGTTTAAACGAGTTCAACTTTCCTGACCCCTACTCTAAGGTTTTCTTTAAATCATCCTTTACCTTCCCTGTGGTGCCTTAATATACAGTTTATCAGTCCCCCTCAATCTCTCAAGTATTATAAATATTTTCTGTGTTTGATTTTTCTATTTCTATGAATCTGTTTTTATTTTAAATGGCCGTCCAGCTTGGGTGTTTTGTAGTTGTTGTTGTTGTTGTTGTTGTTGTCTGATATAAATGAGAAGTTAATCTAATTCTCTGTTTGCCTGTAGATCAAGCAGAAGGAGAATGACATGGCCCTGAAATATTATCTAAAAGTGGTGAAGTCAGTAGAAGAGCTGAGCTGGGAGCAGAGGCAGTTTGCTTTGGTCAAAGGCCTATTGGCTGGCAATGTTTTTGACTGGGGAGCCAAAGCAGTGTCGGAGTGAGTGTACTTTAAATATGCTTGGAATTCTTCAGGTATCTTTTAGATGTTTTGTTTACATTTGAGTGTATTTTTTTTTTAATTTTTTCAGTGTACTTGAAACAGATCCAGAGTTTGGTTTTGAGCAAGCAAAACAACAACTGCAAGGTATGAAAACTTTTTAATATCACACAGGATTTGTCCTGGCTTACAATGAGGCAATGAGGTATTGTATTATCCTGATCATGAAATTGATGCTACTTGAACAAAAACAGTTTGCATTTGATTAATCTTTTCAAGAAACATTGTTTTAACATTAATTTATGCAAATATATTTCATTAAATTTAGTAAAACTTAATGTAATATTTACAAAGAGACAGACCAGGGGTTTTTAGGACTGCTCTAATTTTTTGATGTAGCACGATTTTTACTGATCAAGGGAACAATCCAATTTCCAAAAACAATCACTTTTTTATTTTTTTTTTTTGAAAGGCTCATTTTAGTCTCCTAAATGTATTTACTATGAACAATGTTTTTTTTTTTTTTTTTTTTTAATACGTATTTGTATATTTAAGTCATAAATTTTTGGTTCATGTTAGCTGACAATTCATTAACTAATATTGACAAACATGAGTTTGGATTTTAATAATACATTTGTTAATGTTGAAATATAATTAATAAATGTAAATGCATTTGTAGGCCAAATAAGATGTATAGCATATGTTTCTGTAAAAAAAATATTGAATTAAAATACGGTGTATCTGATGCGTTAGTCGATGTAAAATAGTTCTGTTTGCATATAGCACAAGGTTTAAAGATCGGAATCATGTTTTTAACGGCGATGCATTTATGTGGCCAAATGTAAATAGAACCGTTTGTATAGATTGGATCATACAAAAATGAAGTGACCAGACGTAAACAGGCCTAAAATCTCCTTATACAATGTTTTACAAGTAAATAATTATACAATTTAAAAAACTGTTTTCTGTTTTTGCATGCATATTAACATACTTTTGATCCTGTGATGGCAAAGCTGCAATCCAGCAGCCATTAATCCAGTTTTTAATATCACAGTTTTCAATGCCAATAGATGTGGTGCTCAGGAAACATTTCATTTCTTTTCTTTTTTTTTTTTTTGTAGTTTTAATAATTTCCAATTTAGTGTTTATTTTATTTTCCCAGAGAGGCCATGGCTTGTGGATGCCTACAGCCAGTGGATTGAGAGAATGAAGGTCAGACCCAAAATAAACAATGAGTATATCAAGCATCTCAGTTTCGATATTTAACTTTATATTTAGCTGTCCTCATATACTGTTTCCTGACTTGATGTGTCCAATTTATTTTAGAGTTCGAGTTAGATTTAAGAGTTCAGACCATGGAAACGACATACCTTGAGCCTCAAAAATCATTTTCACATTCTTATGTAAATGATTAAGAAAAAATAAATTAACACACTGATACTGATGATCTGCATAGGATCATTAATGGAAACACCTCAAGCATTTGATTGTACACAACATTTCATGAGATTACATCAATAATATTTTTGTCCTTTAAAAAAAAAAAATTATTAAAAAAATAAAAAACAAGACAAAATTTCAAAATGTCCTCGTATTTTGAAAGCAAGACCACCATTATAAAGCAATGAGGTAATGCCGTCAGACATGGAGTTCAGTCTGGGGACCTATTGTCCCCTGGTCAAGCGAATAAACAGCAGACAACTGGCTTTTCAGCTGTGTTGTGCACATTATTAATGTAATTAGTTATATAGTTACTAGTTATCTCTCACAAATAGCAACTGAATGAGTTTCATAATTATAAAAGGAACTATTGTGTTACTTTTTAAATAGAAAAATGACGAAAAAACTTGGACGACCCTAATATTAAATATGAATGAAAGGGATTCTAAATACAATAAAAATATTATTTGAAGGCATTCTCACCAGTCTATACTGCTTTAAAGTTGCAGTGTGACAATATAGGGGACACCTATCAAATCTATTGTTAGTGTAATTATTCTCATTATTCTTCTTGTCGTTTTTATTGTATTTGTCAATATTATTATTATTATTATTATTATTATTATTATTATTATTATTATGAAAGGGGCCTATAATGAGCTTAGGCTATTTACCCAGGTTTTTTTTTAACTAAACAAAGTATGGTAAATCTATTTTAAGACTTTGTGTATTTAAAATTTAACATTTGATCTGAAATCATATTTAACAGTGTATGAATTCTTCCTGTTGTTGATTAAACACTGTGCCTGCTGGCTTTCTTTTACAGGGTCCTCCTCATAAATGTGCATTGTTTTTCGTAGATAATAGTGGAATAGACATTATTCTCGGGGTTTTCCCTTTCATTAGAGAGCTCCTCCTCAGAGGCACAGAGGTAAGTCAACAATATGGTTTACGATATTCTTTGAGTTATTGGCTTTCACATCAGTGGTGGACAAGATAAAATGTAACTCAATTTTGAAGATAAATGTACTTACTGAGTTTTATTTTATTAACAAGACTTGTACACATATAGTATAATAACTAAATTGGAAATGGACATGTGAAATTATTGAGCTATTTTTGAAGTGGGCTTACTTTGAATAAGTGAGTTTTTAACAGGAGACTCTGACCGAATCATTTATTTTAGTGAGTCATTTACTTAAAAGCGTGTGCTTTAAAAAACTGAGATACAGCACAAATAAACTTAAATGAAAAAAAAAAAAAATCTGTCACTGTTCACCACTGCTTTTTAAGGTTTATGCTGCTTTGTATTAGTTACAAACATGAGCATATTTACTTTTAGGTTGTGCTTGCCAGCAATTCAGGTCCTGCCCTGAATGATGTGACTAATAGTGAGCTGCAGATCCTAACGGAGAGAATTGCTGCCATGGACCCTGTCATTCAGTGAGTGTTCAACCTTACAGGGCACCTATGGTGCCAAATCTACTTTTCAAGCTGTTTGGACCGAAATATGTGTAGGTATAGTGTATAGACGGTCATATAGGGGTGATATAAACACAAAGAGTCCTTTATTTTTCAATTTTACAACATACGAACAGTGGACCAATTGGAGCGATTTTCAGACCGTCAGCAATTTGAGGTAGGAGTGAGGCCGCCTAAAGTTCTTACTGTACTATTTCTCACAAACGCTACGTGAGATTTGCTTCTTTTATGTCTGTTTGTTGTCTGACACAGCCGAGGGAGGAAATAAGGGAACACAGAAAGGCACGTAGAAACGGTGGGCGGGGAGGACTAGCCTTAAAGGCGCAGTACAGCAAAACCACCACACAGTGCAAAAATGTATAAAACAGAATCTTATAAAAGGTATAATAAAAAATCTGATGTAAAGCTGAAACTTTACAGACACATTCTGGAGGCACAAATGATTCACATAAATCTTAAAAAAGGGATAACCTAGGTGCCCTTTAATTGATTTTTTGTTTTTTATGTAAATTTGTGTATAGTTTGTCCCATACCAGATTTAAATGACTCAAGATACCCCAAACAATTATCTTGCAAAAATAGCCTTAAAGGTGTAGTAGGCCAAAATGCTATCCGTTACTATAATAGCTTTGAAAAAACTGTCCCTCTTCTGCTGTCTAAAGTCATGTCTCCTGAAATCCCAAACATGCACCTTAGAGGTGACAGTAAACAACCCACTAGATCATGTAATTATTTAGTACTTTATAATACCACAATTCTGAACGAAAAACTGTATTATATCTAGCACATTTTCAGTTGTGTAGCAAGCAAAACTTGTCATAATGTGCATGTGTATATTTCATGCATGCAAGGATCACTGGTCTCACTCTCTCATGCACTTTGTCCTAAAGCGACTACTGTATGCTTAATGGTTGGTCGGCGGCATGCAGGAATTACACTTATTACTAAAACATAAAAAACCAACTTGACCTCAGTAAAGCAGGCTAGGTGGAATAGTGCCATTTACTTGTTTTGTTATTAAAGTACATAAGAATCTACATTATGGATGCTGTAAAAGGTATCTTTTGAAATCAAAATATTTACATCAATCTTTCACCGGAAGATTTCAGTGGGTGAACAACACTTCCGAGCCAAAGACTATAGAATACAAAAGGCATGGCACTTGTATAGTTTTGAATGGGGAAAAGTTTTACGGTCAACATGGTGAATGAAGCCCCGTATAGTTTTGAATGGGGAAAAGTTTTACGGTCAACATGGTGAATGAAGCCTCGCCTACTAGTACAGGAGCCAATCACTGATTGCTATGGACTGACATTTCCCTGGGGGAAGGGCTCGGACCAGACGTGTGCTTTTACAACAGATTGGGGGTCAACAAACTTACTGGAATTTCAATGAATACTTGCTTAACTGTCATAAGGAATATATCCACATAAAGGTTGCAATCTCTACTTTTAAATGAACCAATTGCACTTGAAAACAAGTTATTTTGGTTTTATAATCTGTATGAAACCAATGCGAGGTAATTCACAACTTGGTCTTGATGGTGAATCTCCCCCAGAAATGACAGCGACTCTTTGTTTACAGGTTTGTAGGTGTTTGAGTAGTTACTGCTGTCATGTGACGTATGTTTGACAAGATGCACTTTCAACCAGCATAACAAAAAATTTCTTTCTAAGTTTTTAAAGACAATCGCCTACTACACCTTTAAAATTTGACATTCTGTTTATTAAAATATCTATGGCTCAGCAGTAAAATGGAGGTGTCTTTCATCAAATGTTTGTATTGGTTTTTATTTAACTAAAACAAATGTCTTAAAAGGTAGCTTGAAACATTATTATTCTATTGCAGTAGTTTGTAAACTAGTATTTTAGGTATCTTCTGTACCGGTGTAATGCTAAACCTTAGTTGTTTTTTGGTCTCCACTATGTTGATGATCTTTGACACCACCATTAGAACTATTTATACCCCAGGTGGAAAATAATACAATGTAATAAATAAATTAAACATATATTGATTTGTATTATATAGTCATCATAACACGCATCCAAAGCTTCAGTATCTGTTAAAAACGGTACCAAAAATTCAGAGGGTTTCTTATTACACATGTAAGCTTTTCAAAAACCTAATAAGATGTTTTTCAGCCAAAGTTCAAATAGATAAAGGACACTTAATATATCACTAACATAGGTCATAATGTCTTGCTTGTAATAGACATAAATCTACAAGCTTTAAGTAGACTGTCTGCGTAAGTATTTGGTACACACAATACAGGACATAAAAGAACTGGTGAAGTAAATTGAGATACAAATGGAGTCACCCTAGCCCAAAATGTCTGTACCTTCTCACATTCTCATACACATTGTAAATGTACCTTGAAGTATGTTTTAAAACAAAGTTCAGACATATTATTAAACCATTTAATAATAATTTTTTTCCCCCAATTTCTGTTTAATGGAGAGATTTTTTTTCAACACATTTCTAAACATAATAGCTAAAATTTAATAACTCATTTCTAATAACTGATTTATTTTATCTGTGCCATGATGACAGTAAATAATATTTTACTAGATATTTTCAAGACACTTCTATACAGCATAAAGTGACATTGAAAGGCTTAACTAGGTTAATTAGGTTAACTAGGCAGGTTAGGGTAATTAGGCAAGTTATTGTTTACTGATGGTTCTGTAGGTTATTGAGAAAAATATAGCTTAAAGGGGCTATATTTTGTCCATAAAATAGTGTTAAAAAATTAAAAACTGCTTTTATTTTAGCCAAAATAAAAATTTGATATATATGCGCCTAAGTACCATGAAATTTTCTCTCTTGCAATGACCAATGAGATCTTAATAACAGTATAGCAGAAGTTAGTTGTCATTATGTCATTGTTCTCCAATAATGTCTCTTTGAAAGTTGATCTTCAAAAATCATAATTAATCAAATTTGAATATGTTTTTTAACAAATGTATGCATAGATAAATTAAGTAAGCCTACATTTCTTTATTCCAGTGAGTTCATTTTAAAAGTTTTTTTTTTTTTTTTTTTGATATACTGAATCGTATTCACTTACTACCAACTTAGACTTATTAATTATCAATCACAAGGCAGGACACAGTTAAAAATTTTGATCATGTCAATTATTTAAAGTCCTTAAAATGTGTGTTCCATCCACTAAACTTTGTTTCTCAACATTTATTTGTAAAGACCTCATCAGAGCACCTAATGTACACCTCCTTTGACCCTTGATTACGATCATCATCATCATCATCATCAATACATTTTAGTAATGCTGGTTTGATTTATCCAACCAAAAGATGTAGCCTGTTATACTGTATGTTTTTGCAGCAATATAGCAGCTGCTTTATTTCAAACAACAAAAGGAGAAATGACTTGGGCTTCTCTGAAATTGCTTCCTTATGTTTTTTTTACAGTGTACTAAAATAACATGGTTATTTTCAGGTTATATTCAGCCTGAATATTTTCTTTTTTTCAGGAGTGCATTCAAAGAGGATCGACTTGCTTTGGTGCAGAATGGTTCTAGTTCTCCATGTTTAGACCTGAGGTAAAACGCATTTTATCCCATTTGTGTGCGTGCGTGTGTGTGTTTTATTTGTTGAAAACTGAAACAACTGTGTTCTCTCCTTTTGTACTTAATTCTTCAGTCGGCTTGACAAAGTCCTGGCCACAGTTGTCAGGGAGCGTGGCACAGATCTAGTGATCATTGAAGGTATGGGTCGAGCAATCCACACAAATTACTATGCCATGCTCAGCTGTGAGAGCCTTAAACTAGCCGTCATCAAGAACTCCTGGCTGGCCGAGCGTCTTGGAGGCAAGATCTTCAGTGTAGTCTTCAAATACGAGGTCCCTTCAAAATCCCAAGAGCAACATTAAATAATGTAGGAGTTATTTCTATATATTTTTTTCTTTTTTTTTTTCTTTTTTAGATGAAATTGTTATCTTTAGAAATAGCCTCACCACCTTATCCTCCTCTCCTTACTGTGATTGGTGTAATGTTTTTTTTATTTCTTTCCTTTTTACGTAAAATTTAATGTGCATGTTTCCCCTGTGATGTCCCTCATAATCATTGGATGACATTTGTACAGTATTTTTTTCTTCTGTTGAGATTAAATTTGATTGTTTCTAATTGAAGCCATTCGTCGACTAATCACCCATTTATTAAATTAATTTAATTAGGCCTACTTGACAAATACAAGAAAACAGTTAAGAAACAATGCCATTTTGTCACCTTTCTTTCTGCATTCTAAATGATTTAGAGATATAAAGCTTCAAAGTGGTTTTTACATTCCATATAGCAAAAAATATGTGTGTAACAGTTCTCTTTCATACATTAACATGACAGAGACCCTAATGTATTATAAATGTAAATTATCAAAATTCTCCTCAATTTGCAAATTAGGATAAAAAACTAAACAAAATGCAGATAGAACCTTCTAAGGCTGGGCGATATGGGCAAAATATCATATCTCGGTATTTTTAGGAGGAATGACGGTATACGTTATATATCCGATATTTTCCCATAAATGTTTACTTGAGAATTTAAGCATTTATTAAAACATTATTAAATATTTTTTGATCAAAATATAATTCAAACACAGGGGTTTCCCTCTCCGTTTACAAATAACAGCTGCACATAATCTTTGATAAATAAAATACAGTACAGGTTTTTCTCCTGCTTAAAACTGTTGCACAACATTTCAAATTATAAACAAAATCTTTGATAAATAAATACAGTACAGGGTTTTTTCCTGCTTAACACCACACACAGCACTACTGTGTGCAAATAAAAAAAGTAAACAGAACCATAGAAAACAGCTACATTGTTAGAGCAAAAAATTAACACATTAAGTAGTAACACAACAAAAATTAGTGTAGTATAGAAAAGAACCACATCGAATGTAAATATGAAACACACAATGTTTGATGTCACAATTACAGTGTTCTTATAAGTAATCCTGTATACCACAGTTGTGTGACTTATAAACAACAATTAAATCAGCTGTATGTTTTTTAGTTACACATTTACATGTTTGTATTGTGCACAATTTTTAAACGGTGAAAAAGATAAGTAAAAAAGATAAGTTAAAAAGTTGTTCAATCCATGTAAAAAATCATACACTTTCTTTTGTTTTGACTAAACTTGTTTTACTAAATATTAAATAAGGAGATGAAAACGAATAGACTTTAGACATGAGAAGTAATGAAATTGTTTCAGAGTACTATGATGAAATGCTGGTTAAGCATATAAATGTAAACAGTCATTATAACAGATCAGAACACAGAGCTAAATGTGTTAACATAATGTGTTTTTTTTTTTTTTCAAGGGCACCTATAGTGAAAAATCTACTTTTCAAGCTGTTTGGACAGACGTGTGCAAGTATAGTGTATAGACCGTCATATTGGGGTGATATAAACACAGTCCTTTTTTTTTCAATTTAACAACAAAAAAACGGTGGGCCAATTGGAGCGGTTTTTAGACTGACCGCAACTTTACGTAGGAGTGCGGTCCCCCCGCCCACCAATATTGATTGACAGCCTTGCGTCGCAATCATTTCCTCAGTTTCTTGTTGCACGTCCGCCATTTTCAGTGTGTGAGTCAAAGCGATATCATTAAAGGAACACCCTTGCTCTATTTTTTTGATGAAAAGCTCATTGGGCACAACACAAAATCAATATTCTCCACATTATCGCTGTAATCGGATTTATTGCTTGTTCCTTTTTCGTGGCGCGGCGCTGTGCATTTCGGAGTTCTGGGCGTGGGTTTCTGTCGGGGTGCACGCGGCGGAGCTTTGGGTCAGCGGCTCGGCGTGGCATGGGTTTCTGTCGGGGTGCGTGCAGCGGAGCTTCTGGTCTGCAGCTTGGCGTGGCTTTCTGTCCAGGTTCACGCGACGGAGCTTCGGGTTAGCGGCTCGGCGCGGCGTGTGTTTCTGTCAGAGTGTACGCAGCAGAGCTTCGGATTAGCGGTGCGGCGTAGTTTTCTGTTGGGGTGCACGCGGCGGAGCTTCTGGTCTGCGGCTCGCCGTGGGTTTCTGTTGGGATGCACGCGGCGGAGCTTCGGGTCAGCGGCTCGGCGTGGGTTTCTGTCGGGGTGCACACGGCGAAGCTTCAGGTCAGCGGCTTGGCGCAGCGCCATTGTGTTTGCCTTGGTGGAGGCTTGTGTTTGGAGTTCTGGAATGTGTGGCGCGACAATTCGGGAAACTTCATGTTTCAAATACGCAAATGATTTTGTACTCTCTGCTTGGTCTGTGTCTGACTCGTACATGTACTGCTGAATGCTCATCCTAGCTTAACTTAGCTCTCTCTCTGTCTGTCAGCCTGTTTGTTGCAAACACAGAGCGTAGGAGCTCTTCGATTCGCCCCCTTGTTACGTTGGGCGGGAAGCCGAAACTATGAAGCAACACGCCCCTAAAACAGCAAATTGTGTAAACGGCCCCAACATGACACTTTTTAACACATTATAATAAAAACATCTAAACTGTGTGTTAAACTGAACTTAAACTGGCACACTCAGAAGAACCCTAATATTAATATTAAATCATAAAAAAGGGGTAAACTATGTACCCTTTAATTTTTTTGAACACATTCAGGTGCTGCTTGTCAATTTGACAAGGCTTTTATGTTTGTTCTTGCTGTCAATTTTGGAAGAAATGATCGATAAAAGATTTCTAATAAACCGCTGTGACAGCAGCAGGCACTTTGTGAAGTTCGTGCACGCGTTGGGGAGTCAGATTTTTCCGGGGAGTCAGATACAGATAAATTTCTCACCACACCGGCACTGCATGTTCCCCCATGTCGCGTCAGTGATTAATTGTTCTTGAATGATTCTTTCATTTTGAACAAATCATTTGTATGACTGAGTGAATCATTAATTTTCGCATGCGCACATTTGTACAAGTGGAGCTCGTATGCTACCTTGGAGTGGTCTGTTTCACGCAGAATGTGCATGTGTTGTCTCAAACCATATCAATAAAAACGTTATTGAATAATACTGCATTGCGTTGGGGAATCATATCTATTTATCCCCAGAACCCAATATACCGCCCAGCCCTAGAACTTTCTAATTCCAAAAAGTCATTTTCCGCTTAGAATTATAAGGTTCTATCTGGCAGATAATTAATTGAAGCATTACTTTTCAAAAAATAAATTGTTTGCTTAATAATTTAATTGTAAAAAAAAAAAAAAAATTGTTGTTGTAACGATATGTTGATGTTTGAGAAAGTAAAATTTTTGCTTTCTATGACTTTTATTTAATGTTTTAGGATGAATATTTTTTTCTTGTTCAAATTAAGCATACAAGGCTGTGCTAAATATTTTGTCCAGTGCAGATTTTATGTAATTAATATGGCAATATTTATTGAATTATATGCTTTATATAAATTTTTGAATTGTATTTATTGAATTATATGCCCATTGTATTAAATTATTTGCCCTTAAAGGCTTAATATTTAATTTAAAGACTTTAAGAGAATACAGACAATAAGCAAATGAGTTGTTTTACAAAGTTTATTAAGCAATGAAAAATGTTTTACCGACTCTATATACACAAATAAAAATATTTTACATTTAATAATTACATTTTTAATACCTGTGACTATTTGTATGTCTAAAACTTAACATTTCATATCAATGTTAAAAACTGCTTCTAAATCCTCACATTTACACACATCTTTTTAGTTTCAGGTTTCTTCTCAATTTTGTGTAGCACTGCATTATATAGTCTACTCTGATTTTGTGTTTCTTTCTGGTCTTTCCTACTGTCAACCGAGTAGTCCGGCGAAATGACCAAAAAAAAAAAAAAAAAACTAAAAATACATATATATATGATATTATATAAAAATATATAATATAAAAAAAAAAATATATATATATATGTATATATATATATATATATATATATATGTATCACTGCTTTTGTTACTGCCATACTGAATTATATCTCATCTAGATGCTGTTGTCTTTTAATGGCTAGCACCTCTGTTCCCATGACAACATTTTATGGGGACGGGGATTTTGTTCTAATACATTATCAGTGCAAAAAAACAAAAGCTGGTTTCTAAAAAACCTTTGGGGAAACTGCACTGTAGTTTGCGAAAGTGATTTTCCTGAATCCCCACAGTTTTTGGATGATGAATGGTGTAACGATTTACACAAAAGACCTAAATACACACAATATTGATCCATTAACACTAGATGTCAGTGTTGTATACAGTTAGTTTTTTATCTTTCTTGATAAAGGCAAATGTTTAAGTGACATCTTTTTTTTTTTTTTTTTTTGCTTAGGTGCTGGGTATGCCGGGAGTAGAGTCTGCAGTGCCTGCTTCAGATATTGCATCATTATAATGCAACGCATTTGTCCTCAAGTCTGGTGCAGCCCTCACTTTGTACCATCTGTGGAAGTCTATGTAATCTAAAATCCATTTCAGGGTTTTACAGTCCAGCATTGCCTCACTGTTGCTTCTCTTTTCTGCTTGGAGAGAGACAAACAGTTGTGTATATGCACAAGACAAAATATATATTTTCATGGTGTTTAAGACAATGTATAACAATCATCAATTTGTGGGCACAGTATTTCAGGCCAATGGTAAAAGAGTGAGAAGCACATTGATTTCTCTTTTCATTCGGATTGGTTGGTTTTTCATTTGTGCCATGATTCTGACTAAGGTTTTAAACTGGTGGCGTAGAATGTGACACATTTAAGAAGTCATCAGTCAGATGGTAAATAAATAAAACTGTACTGCTTTATCATTTGGCCAAAGGCAGATTGAATTTACTAATGCTTTAAGTTTGTTTTTCTTAAATATTGTAAAATCAATTGTAAATATAACAGAAATCTGTTCATTAAAGGTAAAATTTCTTTGCAAATATTGACACTCAAGATTTTAGAAAAAAATGGCTTGACAATCACATAATTCTGTCAAATATATTTTACACTGTCCTAATTCTGCTTGGGTCTCTTATTTTTTCGTACACCTTCGAATTGACCTTCCATCAGGGACGGTTATTATTCAACAGTTTATAAAAAAATATACACATATTGTAATCTGTAGCATTTTGTCATTAGTGTTTGATAGGGTTGATGAAAGTGACTTTTCTTAGTTTTTGGTATTTACTGAAAAAAAAAAAAAAAAAAATCTAAGAATGCAACTTGACTGCCTCTGATTGGAGCCTTCTCAGTATTTTGTCTATATTTAAAATAGAAACTAGATCAATACTGAAGAAAGTGATCAAGGCTATTTTGGGCTTGATTTTTAAATGTAATATTACAACTGTCATTAGTGTCAGATTTGCCACAGCTTGAATGAACTGCCATTTGTTTTACACAACGGATGCCCGTTCAGCGTCAACCATCAATCTTTAGTCATTTGAAAAGGTTTATTTTTTTGTTTTATTTATTTATTTTTTTTAGCAATTTTCTCCAGACTAAAGAAATAAGAAATATATCCCCCTTCTATTTATAAATGTAGCTTTTGCCTTTAGTTTATAATTCATAAGTCTCAAACTCAATTCCTGGAGGGCCGCAGCCCTGCACAGTTTTGCTCCAACCCTGATCAAACACAGCTGATCCAACTAATGAAGGTGTTCATGACTCTTTTGAACACCCCGATTATTTGGATCATCTGTGTTTGATAGGGTTGGAAAAAACTGTCCAAAGCTGCGGCCCTCCAGGAATTGAGTTTGAGACCTATGGTTTTTATCATCAAATTTATTTTGAAGCCCATGTTATTCACATGTATCATTTGTTGTTAACGGTGAAAGTAGGATATTTCTTAAGCCAATGCGATATTTTTGTCTCTGAAGAATAAGAGATTTTTGAGTCTGTCCGAGTAGCTGGAAAAGAATGCTGGCCTAAAGGATCAGAGTCGGCAAACTAAGGGGTTCCCTCAAACCTGTTTCGAGTACCAGCATCAATCATAAGATGCTATGGGTGTATTCCTCAAGTTATTTTGCCCAGTAGTTGTATTTTTGAGCAAGCTTTACATCCATTATCAGTATGGTCTTAGGTTCTTTAAGTAGTACTGCATAACAAGTAATGCAACATTTCTACAAGGCATTAACAGACACTTGTCCGCCATTGATGATGGAATTGATTCCTCGAAACCCAGCTTTCTATCTTTCCCTTCCCATTTTGCCTGCTTCATCAGTGGCCACAGCTTGTCTCTTGCTTCCTTGGTGGTATAAGTCAGATCTTCCAGGATCCATTCCAGACTTTCTTCAGCTTGAGCCAATGTTTGGGCATCCCTCTAAATTTTGACCAAGAGATGAATCCTTCTCCAAAGATGTGAATTATTAGCTTCTACCCCCTTTTATTTGAGTTAAACTTTTTCACCCTTTCATGAAGTGCAGCATTCTTCAGTGATTTCCACATTTACAGCCATACATATGCTTAGCCAAAGGCTCAACTATACTCTAGATCCTACAGTAGGTCTCAAGTTCAACTTCTGGAGGGCTGCAGCTTTGCACAGTTTTTTTCCAACTCTTATCAAACACAGTAATCAAACCAATCAAGGTGTTCAAGACTACTAGAGACTATTAAGAAGGTGTGAGTGGGAGCTGGTTAGAGCTGAACTATGCAGAGCTGTAGCCCTCCAGCAATTGAGTTTGAAGCTCTAAATAGTAGTGATATTGTCTTTGCGGATTCCACATACACCAACCTTGCAATGTTTTTTTCCTCCTGAATTTTCTTCTTGTGTAGCATCAAAGCAGAAAGAGCTTTGGGAGTTTTTATGTTTGGCTTGGGTTTCTTAGCTGGACAGCTATCTGGAGTTCTGAACCTACAGTAAAGAAGGGTTCTACAGATTTTTTGGCATATGTGTGCACTATGCTGCAAATAGTCCCAAGTACCCATGTTCTTAAATGTGGGAGCAATTGAGAGCAGAGGAAGTATAAAAAAAGTTTCCAAAAAGTTTTGTTTTCAGAGAAAATATCTTGTAAAATGTTTTTCGATTAACGTTAGGGTTGATTTACAAGTATTTTAAATCATCATCATCAAAAAATAAATAAATAAATGCATGGGGATATTGTATTTTACATTACAATGTTAACATGTATGATGTTGCTGTGCAACTTTAAGAAATGAAGCAGTCAATGGGCAACCAAATAAGACACAGTCACATTGATTTCTGTAAAAATAACATGAATTTACATTTTCCCTTTGAGTGCAATGCATGTGCCAATATTCATTTTTGCATACATATGATGTCAATCACTCTTATCTGTGGAGAACAGATCCATCCATAATTTACTATTCTGTCCTGCTTTCATCCAATTAAAATATTTTCTATATTTTTCCTGTATTTTTATTCTTTTAATAAAAGATGGCACTTACATCAACATTGAACTGATCTCAAATGTGATAGGCTAATAGTAACATTGTAGTTGCATTATTGTCTCTGCTGATTCCACATACACCAACCTTGCAGTGCTTTTTTTCCTCCTGCATTTTACTCTGTATGTAGCAAGCAGGCAGCTTTGGAAGGTTTTATGTTTGGCTTGGGTTTCTTACCTACAGCTATCTGGAGTCCTGAGCCTACAGTAAAAAGGGGTTCTACAGATTTTCTGGAATATGTGTGTATGTCCATTTTTTTCATGTGGGAGCAATTGAGAGCAAATGAAGTGTAAAAAGGGTTTCAAAGAAGTTATGTTTCCAGAGTAAACATCTTGTAACATGAATTTTGATTAATGGTAGGGTTGATTCAGAATTATTTTATATCACCAAAATCATCAAAATGTAGTTTTTTAGCAAAGCAGATGGAGGACATCTCTTATTTTGCATCCTGATGTTGATCGGTATGATGTTGCCGTGTACTTGGAGAAATGATGCAGTTAAATGGTAAGCAAGTAAGACACAGGGCAACACCCAATCTTATCGATCTGCATACAAATAACATGATTTACACTTTCCCTTTGAGTGCAATGCATACCCCAATGCTACAGCTATCATCCCATTTAATTGTTTTCCCATATTTTCCTGTATTTTCAAACTTTCATTGAAAGGTGGCAGTAACATCAACATAGTGATGTTATCTATGACAAAATGTATCTATCTCAAGTATCATACAGGCTAAGAGCTATTCAAAAGAATTATGTTATTTAAATTTTGTCTTCAATGAGCATAAACAGTTATGAAAGTAATCTAATTTTTTCATTTTACATCTGTGTATTCTTATAGTGCCATCTCTGTTATTTAATGTTTAATTAAATTCAAATTCAATTCAAAATGAGATTCATTTGCTGCTCTTCAATAAACAACTATAGTAACTTTAAATAAAATATATTTATATTTTAACCATAAATATAATTTATACAGTAAAAAAAAAGGAAAAAGTGATTAAAAAAAAGTGATTTGATAACTTCATTTAATTTCTGTATATTAGGCTACCAATTTCAATAGGCTAAACCTTATTTTATTTACAACGGCATATATTGTTTGTTCACATTTTTAAAGTGGCTCGGGCCCCTGGCAGACAGTGCCCTACCAATAATTTATTCGAATTCAAAATAAAGTAATTTTCAGTCCAGTGGTGTAAAGTAACTAATTACAAATAATCAAATTACTGTAATTAGTTACTTTTTTTCTCAGGAATTGTAATTTACTGAGTAGTTTTAAAAATGTGTACTTTTACTGTCACTTGAGTACATTTCAGTGCAGTAATTGGTACTTTTACTCCACTACTTTCCTTCAACCTGCAGTCACTACTTTATTTTTTCTTGTCTATGGGGATTAGTAAAATCAGTCCTGTAATTCCCGTCCAATCAAATCCCACAAAGAAGGTAAATTGCCTCATATTGTACTACCTCAAGACATGGGCGATTTATGAATGCAGCACACTGTTTGGAAGCATTAAGTGTCCAAGAAGATGTCCAAAATCTTTACATGTGTGACCCAGAGACTGTTTAGATGCATATCACTGTTGAGAAGATGACAGATGTTTACTGTAGGGGACTGAAATGGCCTTAAACACCCAGCAAGCACAAGACATCAACATGACGTCAGATTGACGTTGTACCCCAATGTCATGGGAACGTTGCGTTTTGTTTGGTATTTACTATGATTTTCTATGTAAAGCTGCTTTAAAACAATTTACAATGTAAAAGCGTTATACAAATAAAGATGAATTGATGTCAATATGATGTTGGTTTAAGATGTTGGCTCGACATTGGATTTTGGTCACTTTTAACCTAAAAACAACCATATATCAACGTCATTTAACATTGTTATTAGACATCAAAGTAACGTTATCCTTAGACGCTGGCTAGATATTTATTTTTGGTCACTGGACATCACAACATTGTGTGCCTTCTGGGCAATAACTATATGCACTACAGAATGTTACGTTTACACACATCCACAAATTACAAGTAAACACATCAGCATTTTACAGCATAATACTCACTACTCATAAGTACTTTTAAAAGGAATACTTTTTACTCATACATTGAGTAGTATTTACAACTTACTTTTACGCTACTTACACTTCATTTTTAGGCGAGTAGTGGTACTTTTACTTGAGTATGATTTTTCAGTACTCTATCCACACTGGCTCCGTCAACTCTTAACCTACACATGCACCAAGTTCGCTACTTGATCACCATAATACTATTAACCAAGGCAGTGCGATTAATTAAAATTTAGTTTTGATTTTGGCCTCCATGATTATAAAAAACAATAATCAGGATAAAACAGTTACATTTCTCTACATTCATACCTCCTCAAAGCCTCCTCAAATCATGTAAATTGACTTTTGCAGAATGGGACAGGATTGTTATTTTTATATTAAGTGCCTATTTTAAATTATTAAGTACTTTAATCATGTTTTTAAAAGTGTGAAAAAGAATTTGGGCTGTTCAGTGCATGCTTTGGATGTATGTCCCCACCAATGTCAAGAGCGAATCTACACCCTTGGGTCAGTGGTCACTACTCAATTAAATTTTGGACTGAT